GCTCACCTTGGGCATGAGGGCGTACATGAGGCCCTGCGCCGCCTTGTGCTTCGCGTCCCGCTTGTTGGCACCGTCCCCTTCCGCCGAGAGGACGCCAATGGAAAGCTTGGGGCTGGCAAAAACGACGTGGCACAGCACACCCAGCGGCGGCGGCAGCAGCAGTAGCCGCAGCAGTAGCAACAGCAAAATCGTCAAACCAACGAGACAAGACGTGGCGCAAAGCTGCGAGAGAAATTCAATAATCGGGATGCCGAACACGGGTAATTCCACTGCTCCCAACAAGTAAACCCTATGTCGAAGAATGATCGCTTTCCCAGGTCGAAGAGGCTCGATAGAAAACATCGGTCATCTGCTTGACACGAGGCAGAAGGGGGGACGTCAAAAAACGGGGAACAACCTGCTGGGGCGATCAGTTTCTCGCCGAAAGAAAGACACAAAAAAAAACTCATACTTCGGTATTTCCGGGGTCGACAGAAGGAAAGGAAAAACTTGCGTCGCCTCAAAATAACGACAAACAACTCCAGCCGATCGCCACGCACGCTGGCTTTCAGGGTTGTGCCTGCGTTGCTGCCAACAACCCGGCACGGAACAAAAACGGACAGAGAAAGAGAGAGAGATAGAGGTGCGGGTGCAGGCTTCTGTTTTCTTTCCTGACCCCGCCCTTCCATGTCACCGTTGCCGCCCCCCGTACAGCATTCCATCGAGTGCACGGACCAGACGGCAGTTTCTTCTTGCCTCTTCAACAATTCAAAACCGAACAAGGGGTCATATTCCAGGGCCACGGGCCAAAACGCACAAACATGAGCCCGGTCCAGCCGCTTCTTCTCCCACTCACTCCACAGATTTTGGACACATCCCCTTCGACTGCTGCGGTCATATCTCGAACGGGTAGATCTGGTCTTCAGTGATAATACGAATATCTTCATACGTCTTCTTTGTTTATATGTTGAAGATTAACCGTTTGAGATAAAACCACAGTCGTAGGATTCTTACACTCACATAGCACGGTGGCAAAAATATATATATATCACAGGAAGACTAACCGTTTGAGAGAAAACCAGTCACAAGTTTCTTAAAAACACTCACACAGCACGGTGTTTCAGCAAGTCCTTGTGCGCCTCCCGCACAGCCTCCTTCAGGTTCTCATTCTCAGGGTCCACAGCCAGGGAGGCCTTCGCCCCGACCTCGATGGCGCTCTTCTCGGCCTCCACCTGGTTGAATGACAGTTTCAGGGTCGCGCCCAATGTTACCGAAGGTGTTGTCGTTCAATGCGGGATGACTGACGTCAAAAAAAGGCAGGTAGGGTATTGCAATAAAAACACGAAAGAGTCATCGTGATGGCCTCCTTCTCGACTTGCCGCCTGTTTGAACGACGGTGTCAGGATCATGTCCAAGGATTGTTGTCATTCAACGCGGGATGACTAGCGTGGTCAACAAAGGGTATAGTGTGACAGCAGTAGAAGCATCGTGATGGCTTTCTTCTCGACTTCCACCTGGTTGAATGACGGTTTCAGGATCACACTGCCAAAGGGTGACAAAGGTGTTGTCATTCAAGGCGGATGGCTCACGTGTCCACCAAGAGGAAAGGTATGTCAATACGAAGTTCATTTTTATTTTTGCAGAATCTCATGCAGAGGAAGCAAAATATCAAACGCACATACCAATCTCAACTGACTTTCTTTTCGCTGCTTGTCGGACGATTCAGCCCGAAACGCGCTCGCTGTGCGGCGAGACAAGACGTGAGATTTACTGGGTTGCGGCAACGCATGGGTCAGAAGCGAGAACGACTTAACAAGTACTCGTGTGCCTAGTCAAGGCAACACTGCTGTGGTAGGGAGGGAGTCAAGACACCTGCGACAGTAATGGTCATACTCGCAGGGAAACATCAACCGGCAACCCACAACACGAAGCCGGCTACACGCATACATGACGACAATATTCCCATCTAGTCCTCCCCCCCCCCCC